TGGAATATATAAATTTAAAGATCAAGTTGTATTTTGAACTTTTATGTATTAAGCCACAAGCTGTGGAGGTTTACTGTGGAAAAAAAAAAAAGAAGCTTGCTAGACAGTTAAGGGTGGGCAGTGGTTATGCGTAGAGGGGTGATGGCGGCACAGGTATACTGGCCCTTGGTTTATAAAACTGATATAACCCAGAGGCACAGATATTATGGGATTCTGTAGATTCACAGACTTTTGAATCATTATGTGTGTGTGGATCAACATAGCTATTAGGAGGGAGAAATAATATTAGCAATGCTCATCTCTGTAGTGAGTACTTGGCTGTCTTGCACTCTTATTTTAATTATGATCCAGGATACTTATATAATGAATTTTCAGTAGTTATTGGCAGAATTTTGCCAGCTATTACTTATCACTTAAAGGAAAAGTTTTTTTCCTTTATTGAATAAACAGACTTTTGGGTCCCTCATTATTTCTGTGAAGCACTCAGTAGGAGTATTTTGAAAGAGCAATTTATTATGGGGTAACTTGCAAGAGAAGATACTTGTTCCTAGGGCCTCCTGCATCTTGCTTCCCCTGTGAACTCTCCACACTGACCAGCACCCTGGAGCTGACGGTCCTTTCCTGCTCAGAATTAGAAAGGAGGTCTGGGCTCTTTTAGCCCTCTCCTATCTTTTAGTTCTTTCCTATCTCCTGATTCTTTCTCTTCATCCTCCCACTGTTCTAACCCTAGTTAGCTAAAGGGAGAGTACTTTCTGATGAGTCATTTTCAGTGCTTTCCAAAAACAGGCTTAGAAAGTGTAGTTACTCCATACCATTATATTGGCCACAAAAACAATAGCAGGTGAACCATAGAGGAAAAATTAGCTAATGACCAGCATTTTTTTTTTTTTATTTTCTTTTTAATCAGAGCTGAGGTGATGACTGAATCCAGGGCCTGTGCTTGCTAGATAAGAATTCTACCACTGAACTAAATCTCCAATCCCTTTTTTATTGGTCTTAAAAAGTTGTTGTTTTCAAGATACACTTCAAGGTACATTTAAATTCTCTTATTAGTATATAGTTTACTCTCAAAGTTTTTAGTAGGCTTTCAGTGATTGTATTATGTAAATAAACTTGTGGGACCCAGTAAGCTTAATGGACATTTAAACTTTTGGACTTGACTTGTCTTCCAGAGTTCTGTGGTAAAGAAACTCTCAAAAAATGCTTATGGGGCCAAAACAATCAAAACTTCTCTTTGTGTTCTCTCTGAATTTTATTCTCATCAGCCCAGTTGCCCTCTGTATTTAAGTCTAGGAATATATGCCTCTTACTGTTCCCTGCTGCTTCTCCGGTGTCTTTCACATGGAACAGTTGTATAAGAAAAATGGTTTGTTCTGCATGCTGCTGAATTGTGCCATACAGATGCCTGCAGGCATCAGGAAGACTGGCATGCTTGTCTGGGCTTCAGACTAATAACTCTCATTTATTACTAAGTGTTTTGTTACTTCCTTTCATGCCCTCCCTTGATGACAGCAGACCAAGGCTTACCTAGTCTCTCAGTGTTAGAAATACTAGAAATGGAGCAACAGTTGTGTTTGAAGCCTAGAAACACCATGCAGTGCTCTCAAGGCCAAGTCACACCACTTGGCATTGTCCTTAGACACAATCTGCATTATTTTGGTCAAGTGGTAGAGACCCACTAATGAGACATGCTGATTGTCTCAAGCTCACAGTCTGTTGGAGTCAGTTTGTCTGGACTCCTAATCCTTGCCCATCCTTTAACTGGTGACTTTCTGAAAATTGCTTTTCCTGTCTAAACTTGAGATTGCTTTTTTTTTTTTTTTTTTTTTTTTTTTTCCCCCTCTGACAATGGGAATAAAATTAAACTCTCCTCACTAGGGGTGGGCTACATACAAAGGTGTATATGTGGCATGCCTGCCTGGCTTCCTGTCAGACACACTATTAAATAATGCTAATGGTGATCATTATTACCAATTGGGGCTTTATTACCATACACTTAAAAGCAGTTTCTTGTGTTTAAAAAAGTAATTTAGACACTAAGTACATTTTGATTAGAACAAATACTTGTTTCTCTTTCTTATAGTCTCTGAAACTACTTATGCCTGCAAGTTCTTCTCTGACCTGTTTCCTCACGCACAGAGTGGGTGGTTTGTTGGTGACCATTGTTTTCTTGGTTCGGTGACACCTTCTGCTACTAGTAGGGGAGTGTATCAGGTCTTTGTTTTCATGCTTGATCCAAACAGCAAGGAGATAGTTCATGTTCTCACCTCAGAGTAAAAGGAAGTGAGTGATTCTAAGTACTGTTAAGAAGGAATCAAAGAAGTGGTAACAGGTTTATCAGTTCAAGAGGAAGGAAAGTGATACATGGCTTTTTAAGTCAGCCAGGCCCGTGAGATGGCTCAGTGACTTGGTGCCAAGCAGTCTTGAGAGCTACTCCTCTGATCTCTACCTGACCTGTGCATACTTATGTGCGCACAGACTTAGTAGAGTAGTGGAAGGCAAATAGGGTCATTGAGATGGCTTAGTGGGTAAGGGCACTTGCTGCTCAAGCCTGGCACCAGACTTTGATCCCTGGGACTTATGTAATAGAAGGGAAGCCCTGGAGACTTACCCTTGGTTTTTCTCTGATCTTGTACACATGTACACAGTGGCACAAGTACCACTAATGGCGCTCACCACCAAGAAACAAATGAATAAAGAAACAAATTACTATTTTTCTTTTGTTAAAAAAAAAAGTCAAATCAGTGGCCATAGAGATGACTTAGCAGTTAAGAGCATGTACTACTCTTGAAGTGGACCTGAGTTGGGTTCCTATCACCTTGTTGGGAAACTCACAACCACCTATAGCTTTAGTTCCGGAAGGATCTGAAATCCTCTTTTGGAATCTGTGGGCACTTGTATTCATATGCATATACCTCACTCCCTCCTGGCCACACACACATGTATACACAAAATGAAAATAAATGTTCAGGACTCAAGTAGTATGGAATGAAATAAATAAAGTTGTACTCTATTATCAGTCAGTTTCTCATCACTCTGACAAAGTACTGAAGAAAGTCAGCTTCAAGGAGAAAAGGTTGATTTTGATTCATGAGTTCAGTTCATGGTTGCTTTTTCTTGTTACATTTGGGCCTGTGATGAGTGGAGGAAGCTACTGAGTTCATGACTGCCAGGTAGTAAAGGTAGAAGGAATGAGGGAGAGGAAGAGGGAGAGGGAGAGAGGAAGAGAGGGAGGGGGGAGAGAAGAAGAGAGAGGGAGGGAGAACAAAAACATGTACGCAGTGTGACCTTCATAACTTCCACAAGTGTGATGAAATATCTGATCTGAAGCACATTTATAGAGAAAGCATTTATTTTTACTAATGAATCTGAGGGTGCAGTCCACCGTTGGGGAAAGGCATGGTGATTCCATGGACTAGCTAGTAGAGGAAGACTGTGCTTGAAAGCAGCATCAGTTATAGCTCTCATGTCTTGCTTCCATCTATGACCCACATCCTTAATGTTAAAAACCTTCTCAAATAGTGCCATTTGGTGGGGATTAGCCTTCTACGGACTTCACATCCAAATCATAACACCCCATAGTTTTATTTTCTCTTAATTCCGCCACCACCAACAGTGCTGAGCCACCACTGATAAGCTAAGAACTTAAGCTCCAAACCATGAATTACATATTCATTTCAGGCATCTTTCTATAACAGATACACAAGCTTTCTAGTTCTTCTTATCTTGTTAATCATCAATAAAATTTATATATATAAATATATATATATAATTTATATATATATTTTATATAATATATAAAATTTATATATATATAAATTTTATATATATATATATGCGTGTATAAATGTTTGATTGCGCTTCCTACTTTGCCTTCCTGAAAGCTTCATCAGTGTGGATGGCAGTAAGAGAGCAAAATTTTTCCTTATTGCTTTGCTTATGTTAAAAAAAAAAATATATATATATATATTTATATATATGTTTTCTAACTTGATAGACAAATGTAAGTACTTATTTCACTTTACAAAATCAGTAGGATCCATGTGTATCAGTGTAAATGTCTAACATCAGAAAACAAAATGAAAAATCATATGCCTATTGGAAGGGAACAGGTATGTTCTTTCCCAGACATGGAAGAGGGGAAGTCTCCTAATTGTGAGTCATAGCTGTAAGGCAAAGTTGGGGAAAAGGAAAAAGAGAAGTTGACCAATTTGATACTTTAGAAATAGAAAGGCATCAGGAAGATTGAACCCCCTCCCCCCAAAAAAGTGAAATGAGAAAATATTGGGACCCCTGTCCTAGAGGTGTCATTAATTTCTCCATAAGTATTAGGTAGACTAGTAGAACAAGTGAAAGGCAGAAAAAGAAAACAAAACTCCAAAACTAAACACGGAAAGTTCTTCAAGTCATGATGAGAGGAATTTACACGGCTCCATCACTGAGATCCTGTTTTCCAGCAGATTGTTAGGAGGCCAAAGGTGTGGCAACCCAGTTAGTGGACAAGGGTAGGGAACAGCACTCCCAAGTCCTGTTCATTGAGGTGTACAGGGACAGACCCTGTCCAGGGAGTTCAACAGTGTGCAAGGACATTTCAGGAATTAGTCTTTGACTCAACGGCCCCACTGTTTTCTGTTGATAGCAGAGGAAACTTGGGAAAAAGTCAGCCACACAGAGTCACACAAAGTCACACACACACACACACACACACACACACACACACACACACACATCTATTGGAACATTGCTGTAATAGTGAAAGACTTCATGTAGTTTTAAAGTAGAAGTCAAAGTTCCATCCAGCTCCCATTTTCAGGTTTCCAAACCAAATCTGAGCCACGAGCTCCAGCTGACAATACTATAACTGTGCTCACTTGACTTTGATGCTACTGCTTACTAATGCTGTCCCCCAACATTACTGTGCCACCTGGGTAAGCACTTCCATGTTTTTGATTTGATTAAATTGGTATTTATATTTTTGTGTTCTTTCTTTCTTTTACTAGAAAATGCATCAGATGCAGATTTGTGGCTCCTGAACAGTTGTACCGTGAAAAATCCAGCTGAAGACCACTTTAGAAACTCAATCAAGTGAGTAGGACATCCTTTTTTTTCTTTTAGATAATCAAGGGAAGAATTAGTACCAGCTAGTATTAGCCAAGAAGCCTTTGATTTGAAAAAACAAACAAACAAACAAACAAACAAACAAACATGTATTTATTTGTGTGTCTGTGTCACAGTGTGCACATGGAGGTCAGAGGACAAGATGCTGGATTAGGCTCTCCTGCAATGAGGGTCCTCCGAATTGCATTCAGTTTGGCAATCTTGGTGGTGATTGCCTTTATCCACTGAGCCCTCTCTCCATCCCCAAAGAAGCCTTTAATAGATTTCTTACTCTGCTTTCTCTCAGTTCATTTAAATCTTTTACCTTTTGCTGGGCAATTCCTAATATTACTAAATATCTAGTGTATATCAAAAAGTATGAGTTGGGTTGTAAACAGTTTTTAAAATAAAAGCACTCTATTCTAACTAACTCACAAGCATCATGGTTGGGCTAAGGAAGCTACTATCGCTGTGGATTTATCTGGTGAACACTGTTTTACTGCAGAGCTTCACAGTGCAGATTGAGCATTTGTGAAGTTAAATTTTCTTGTCGGAGCTGTGTGTTCTTCTCAGAGGAGGCAGGCATTCCTGGTAAAATTGCCTGCCATCATCCTCCCTTTGATGGGAGCCCTAGCCTACCCCTGTTCTGGGTGGTGCAGTGTGTGCCAGGGAGCTTCAGTAGGTAACTGATAGACAGATCCTTGCTGTTTGGTTTGTTCTCTCAATGTGGAAGATTCTTTCTTCATGTATGCTTGACTCTTAGTCTGCTTGCTTCCTTAGAAATCTCATTCTTACAGTCTTGGTTGTGAGCCTAGCCTTTAACAGCTGAGCCATCTCTCTAGCTCTAGAAACCTCATTCTATAAATTATTTCCTCCTAGGTTTTAGCCTCTCCAACTCCATTGGCTCCTTTTCATTGCCATTCACATACTCAGGTCTAATCAGTAACAGATGTCTTTGTTACCTATTTTCCATTGCCTTCCCACCAGGCTTTTTCTAAGCTTTACTTGTATTATTTATTTATTAAATATTTATCTTTAATTTATATATATGCACGTGTGTGTGCATGGGTATGTGTGTGTGCAGATTGTGTATGTGCAGGGTGGAGGGTGGCAGTCTCGTAACTCAATAGGAAGAGAACATGTTTGAGTCCTGGCTAGAAGTAGCAAACAGGGATGGATGACTACCTCCATAAGTAGAAAAGACCTAAACCACACCAGGGGATGCTACTGTTTATTTCCAGAAAATTGTCTTTTTTCTTCTAGAATGAGAAATTAGTTCTATTCACAATAGTGTCTATAGGATCCTTAAAAACTCCACAAAGACATTTAGTACTGCTAATGACCCCAGCTTACAACGTAGAGATTCTTTGATTACAGATTACTCTTACCATCAGGTGTGCTTCCGACATAGCTCAATGGTTGAACATGTGTGTATGGAGGCCTGAGTTCAACTCATAGCATCACAGAACAGCAAACAGCCTGGACCCTGAAAAAAACATAAGGAAGGAATGAAAGGGAAGGACAGAAATGCTCCACACGTTTCTTTCAGTGGGTTTTGCTACTGAGTATGTAAGCAGTGTTTTTCTCTGGTAAATGAGCCTCAATGTCAGTATGGTGTGTAATGAAGTGACACTACTCAGAGAAAGAAAGTTTGTTCTTACAGTGCTACAAAGCTAGGAGCTGTATGCAGGGGTCCCTTTAATGTACCGTTCTGCTTGATTGAAAGGAAGATGAAAAGGAATATTACATATGATTAAGTATTTTTAACGGCTTTAAAGGCTTTTTATCCTTATAACCAGTTTTTACTAAAATAATACCTCAATTAACTGTTTGATTTGTTTCCAGAGTAAATATGATCATGTAACATATAAAAACAATTCATACTGAGAACATGTCAGGTACAGGTGATATTTATGCACATGAAGACTTTACATACACGCCTTCCTACTTCTCGCCATATCCTAACAATAAAAGGTAAAGAAGAATATTTTGTAATTCTTATGTATTAATACATTCTCACAGGTATGCAGTAATCTGTAATAACTGTGCTACACATTCATCTGATCTCATCCTGTGGCTCCATCCCTTCTGTCTCCATTCTTGTATGTATTTTCTGTTGCTTTATGCTTTTCAACAGGATGTGCTAGCATTTAAATTCAAGAAGAATATGTTACTATGCTACTTGTCCATTTGTGGTAGCCCATCCTTTCCATTAGAATTCTTTTTTATTCCCTGGATCCCTTACCCACATCGATTGCTTTGCTTTATCAGTGTTATAAATAAGTTCCCTCTAGTGTGGGGATTGAAGCTCCTGGCTACCCCTGAGTTCCACCTCAGGCCTGGAGCATGCTGCACACATGTTCTGCCACTAAGCTCCATCCTGGCAGGTCATTAATTCTTGCTTGTCATGTCTCTGAGCATCCGCTTTTGTTCCTTTCCAGAGCAATCTTGGTCTTTTGTCACCATTTGCCTTTACTTATCCATTGTCCATCACTTCATTTTGTTTCTTGAACTGTGAGGTAGATCCATCTCACTCTAACAGGATAACAGGAACAAAGATAAGTGACAGGGGTTTTTCCTTGTGATTAATACAAGTCTCATTTAAGATCTAGCAGAGGCGCGCGTTCGAGCGTGTGTGTGTGTGTGTGTGTGTGTGTGTGTGTGTGTGTGTAACAAGATAGCTTTTCTTTTTTAAGTGTTCTTGAGGTTTTATGCTAGATTAGTGATCAGATTGATGAAATTATAGAGGTTTTAAGTAACAAAAATAGAAGTGAGGTTGACTTTCTGGACTGGCCTTGAACTTTGAACTTTTGTTATTTGCTGAACTAGTTCAGATAAGAACTGCTAAGGGCCTATGTTTCATGGTGTTGCCTGTCAGACCACTCTGTTTCCTCTTGAGCATCTGTCAGTACCGGGTTCCTGTTTGATCCATTTTGCCAGCTTGGTTTAAACAATATGGCCTTTAACTTTAGAACTCTTGAGTTAATGAAAAAGATCAAAAGTTTGAAAAAAAAATTGCTCTTAATGAGAGTATCAAATCAGAAAAGCCTTTGACTTGTGATTTACAGAAGTGTGGGGTCTTTCTCATGCCACCTAAAGGAGGTCATGCAGAGGCTGGTAAAAATAAACACATCTTGTGTGTTCCATGTAAAGACAGGGAGAGCAGCCAGCATGCTTTGATCATGGACTGATGACCTCTGTTTGGCCTTGCACATTATTACCCAAATGGGCACTGTGGCCACACCAGTAGCAGACAGACAAGAGTCCTTCTCGCTTTGAATTGCCCTTGCCCAGAGAAACACATCATAATTCTGACAGGATGGGTTCGATAGCCAAGGAAAATGACTTGCAAGAATAGATGAGACTAAAGAGAGAATGGACACAGCAGGAAAAGGTGGGTCTGAAGTGTAGGCTACCTGCTTTATGTGATGTCTTTTCTCTACAGGGAGTACCTTATACTATGCTCTGCTGAGCAGAGTAATAAATGGCTTTATTCTCAGTCCTACTGGGGAAATGTTTGTTTTATGTGGATTTATTGATGAGTTCTTCATAAATTGACAGAGGTACAAGAGTACTATTTCAACCTCAATGCATGAAGTAAATGGCTTTAAAAAAATAAGCTGAGCTGTTAAGAATAGACAAGAGCTTGTCCTTTTCATTAGTAATTAATCACCCTCTTTAAAAGAAAGTAAAAAACTTAACTGATTGTGTTGTTAGAACTAGGTTTACTAATAGTTATTATTTTTACCATAATTGCTGTATTTAATTTTAATTTTCATCTAATTTAAATGAAAAAAATTTGGCATTAGAAAATAAAACCACTCTTGGCCTCATTTGACTTTTTGTAAGAAACAAGTTAGCTATTGCAAATTGTTTTCACACTCAAACACACACACACACACACACACACACACAAATGCATACAAGAGGAGGACAGAAGAGAGAGAATGCTTGTGTGAGAGTGTGGCCATGCACAGGCCACAGCATGCTTGTGGAGGCCAGAGGATTGTCTTTGGCTGCTAGTTTTTGTCTTGCCACATTGTTGAAGACAGGGTGTCCTTACCTGTGCTTAAGCTAGGTTGGCCTTTGAGACTTTCCTGCTTCCAGTTGCCATTTCTGTAGTTGCAACAGGGTTACAGATGCCTCACTTCTGCGTTTGGCTTTTGCATGGCCTCTAGAGATCTAAACCTGAGTCATTAGGCCTGAGCAGTAAGCGCTTGCACTTTCTGAGCCATCGCTTCAGCTCACGTTGTGTTTTTAGTTCTGTGACTTCCTGATAATGATGTTTTTGCTTACCCACTTGTGTGACTTGCCTGAGTTGAGTCTCAGTTCTACCCTGCCTACAGTGTAAGGAGCAGATCCAGTGAGCCCGTGTGCCCTCCCACCCGCA